CTTTGAAACCCAGTAGCCCGCCTCTTGAACATTTGGGGTAAAGTGAAGCATCTTGTTAGACAAAGTGACTCGAACATACATCAACGGACAATACTTCATTCCGGGATTAACATCAGAAGTGCAAGCACAACCTATTAACTAAGGAGAATTAAAGCCCAAAGGAAATAAAATATATCCGAACAAACACATTTTTGGTATAATCTTCAGCAGAATAATTACTACCACTGCATAGATAAACTTGAAAGTAATTTGTGGAACTGTCATTTATGGGCAAAAACATTTTATTCAAGTCTCAGTGGACAACAATACACAAAGCCTGACATCGTATAAAGCCAAGAGATTGGATGTTAGATATTCCGCAGCCATGCAGGTTTCAACTCAAATCCCCAACCTAGGAATGTTCACTGCTGAAAATCCCAAAAATGTCTCCACCAAATGGCTTTGTCATTAGACAAGAGAAACAAACGCAGCCCTTGGCGCTGGTTCCCCCTAAGCAGAGCCCTGGAGGCATGCCCCACAGCAGGCCATCTGGAGCTTCATGTGAGTGGGTAGATGGCTGAGACCAGGAAAAGCGATTCGTTATCCCAAGCTCCCTCATGGAGTGAGGTCTTAATGAGCTGTGTGTGCTCTGCCCTTGGTGTCACTGGAGGCAGGGGAAAGCAAGGGTTCTTGTTTAATCATTCTTACCTTTTGGCTTTACTTCCTACAAACAGCCAAAAACAAAAGTGAAATAATCCCTCTAGTGGTAAATTAAATCAGTACCAAAGCACAGGCCAGGCTGGCCAGGCTAAAGTCGCTTGATTTGGATTTGGGAAAGGTGGAAAACAGCACTGCGAGATAAGCAGGCAGGAAGTTCAGGTTAGTAATTATAGTTGCCAGATAAATTATAGATGTTCCATTACATCTGCATTTCAGATAAACAATGCTTCTTTAAGTGTAAGTATGATCCGTGCTATATTTGGGATATGCTCATACTAAAATATTACTTGTTTATCTGAAATTCATATTTAACTGGGCATTCTGTATTTTACCTGCTAAATCTGGCAACTCTACTAGGAATGGATTCCAGCAATTATAGCAACAACGTCTGACTGGGCTCAAAATAGAAATCCCATGATTGCCACACAGTGAGTGACAATACACTCACCAAAAAACGGCACGCTACACAACTTACAATGAATACGGCCACTCTGACGTTGTCTAAATTTACAGACTGTTAGAATTTATCGATAGGTGCATTGCATCCAATGGAGAGTACTTGGAAGTTGACTGAAGTTTAAACATGTAAGAATAAATACACAATTTTTTATAAATAGATTCTGGGGTTTTTTTGGGCAGGGTCCCCCTCATGTGCTGAGTCTAGTAGGAAGGGAACATCTGGACCGGGCTGGGAGGGCAAGAAGGACAGAAAGCACTAGAAACAATGGAAATAGGTCTTAGAGTCTAGAAGTGAGCATGATAATTCCAGGATAGAGAGCTGAACAACTTTGCTGAAACCAGGGGAACTAGAAACAATCCCCACACACACGGTTGAAAATCTGCACCCATCTTCCTCGGTTTTGTCTGACGCTCTCTTTTAAGGAGAGGTGAGACACACTCGTATTGACAAAGAAAACAAACAGGGTGCAAATCTTCACACAGAACCATGAGGCTTTTTCACCTAAAAGAGACAAAACCACCTCTTGCGTATACATATTCACAGGCTTATCATTTGGCAACCGTCGCCCCACAGGGAAAATTTGAGTGTGGTCATTAAGAGATGATAGCTGATGCAGTGGGGGTAAGGTCAAGTTCGCACACCAAAGCTCAGATGGATAACAAGAGTGAAGAGTTTTTCTTTCTCTACACATGTGCTGAGTGTCTGCCCGACAGGCCCTTCAGGCATATGGCTGGAGGTGGGGAGGGGACAGAATGTTCAATGCCCGTTAGAGGTGAATCACGCTCTTCTGGTTCCAAACGATCTTTAATTTGCAAGTCCCCTTCACGAAACTGCTCAGCCAACTCAAAGTCCAACCGATCTATCAGGGTTGTCAACCGTCCCTCAAGAGGACTGTCTTCCTCTTTTGCAAGAACAAAGTAAAGTCCACTGTGCCCAGGGGCTGGAGGGGCGGGCTCTCCCACCCATCTGTGGTGGTGAGCCAGATGGAGAGGAGGTGTAGGATGTGTGCCACAGCCAACTAATCAGCTTCTGTCCTTACTACATCTGTTTCTAGAATGTTCAGCTTGTGCAGCCCATGGTCTGTTCTCTCAGCATGCCGGGTGGTTGTTGCTTTTCACCCAAACCTCCCACCTCAGCCCTGGCAGGCACTCTGCTTTCTCCAAATGGCCTCTGCCTCAGTTGGCCACGCTGTGGCCTCCCCATGTGCCCAACACGGGCCTCGCCACGGTGATGCCATCGGCCGTTGCTCAGCTGCACTCCGAGTCCTCACAAGAAGCACGAGTGGAATGCCGGGTCTCCCTCCATCCCACTCAAAGGCAGGGCTTACGAAAGAGATGCCGCCTCCAGCACTTTCTCTGCCCAAGCATGCCAAGTCATCATTTCTCCTCTGCTCTGGCCTGGGGCTCCCTGGGAAGAGGTCTCCTTCCTGAGACCAAACTGGATGATCACCTCTGAGTTTCTCCCTTAAAGAGCTTTAGTGGGGTGTAACTCATATGCCACCAGACTTACCGTTTTAAGTGCACAGATCAATGCATTTTAGCAAATGTATACAGTTGTGCAACCATGATCACAATGTAGTTTTAGAACGTTTGCATCACCCTAAAAAATGTTCTCATAGTCATTTCCAGTCACTCCTCTTTCCTGCCCCAGGCTCTAGCAACAACCCCTGGTCTCTGTGCTGAAAGGAAGGACCTCCATTTCTAATATGTTGGACTAGGTCTAAGACCAATTCTCCTGCTGAGGACAGCTACAAATCTACTCATATATATATATATGAATGATGATTTGTATAAAAATTACCAGGCCAAAATCTAAAAAAAAAAATGTAGAAGTTAAGGCCAGCTTGCAAGATTGCTTTTACCCTGGAGGCATTTGTCCGTAGATGGGGTTTCAGCCCACTCTTGGAATGAGGGCCACTGAAGTCAAAGCCACTGCCTGCCCAAGCAGGAAGTGTGACAAACACCACAACTTCTTATTTAAGTTAGTGCAGAAAAAGAGTAAACTGGATGGATGCTAACAGTTTGGGAATTACAAGAGGCCGGGCTCGGTGGCTCAGCCTGTCATCCCAGCACTTTGGGAGGCCAAGGAGAGTGGATTGCCTGAGCCCGCGGGTTCGAGACTCGCTCGGGCAACTTGGTGAGACCTCGTCTCTACAATAAAGCAAAAATTAGCCGGGCGTGGCAGAGCCCACCTGTAGTTCCAGCTACTTGGAAGGCTGAGGTGGAAGGATCGCCGGAGCCCAGCAGGTTGATGCTGGGGTGACTGTGAGCGTGCCCCTGCACTCCAGGTTGGGCAACGGAGTGAGACTCCAACTCAAAAAAAAAAAAAAAAAAAAATTACAAGAAACCTTCATCACTGGGCTTGGATACCCAGGCATACAAGATCACCCACATGCAAGGAAACAAGAACACAAAACCAGAGAAATAAGAGACAATTGAAACAGATTCAAAAGGCTTCATATATTGGAACTATCATACATACTGTAAAATAATTAGGTTAGGTAAATTTAAAGAAATTTTTAAAATCTTAAAAATGCCTGAAAAGACCTGAAAACTACAAAGGGATGTGACAAATTTTTAAAAGAGCTAACTAGTACTTCTTGAGTCGAAAACATGGCAAGTGAACTTGAAAACTCTATTATGCATTTTATCTGGTGTTTTTGGCAAGTTTTAACAAATTATTTTGTTTGTTTGTTTGAAATTTTCAAACAAAATTTATTAACGAAAGAAGGGAGAAAAGGAAAAGTCGGCATGCCAGAGCTGGCATGGGCAAAAGAAAACACCAGTTTTAACAAATTCTTAACCTTCCTTTCTTCCTATTATTCTAGTCCCTAATATTCCCCCAACTTTACTAAACTTTGAAATATGGAAGCAAAAGGGGGAGGAGTTTTGGCATTTCACCCATATATTTGTCTGCGGAGGGCTGTGTATGTATGATTTTTTCCTCAAGGAAAAAGGAAGCATAAAAATATTAAAAGAGCCGGGCAGGGTGGCTCACACCTGTAATCTCTGCTCTCTGGTAGGCCGAGGAGAGAGGATTACTTGAGCCCAGGAGTTCAAAACCAACTTGGCACGCACTGTGATACACACCTGTAGTCCCAGCTAATTTGGAGGCTGAGGCAGAAGGATCACCTGAGCCCAGATGGTCAAGGATATAGTGAACTGAGATCTCGCCACTGTGTTCTAGCCTGGGTGACAGAGTGAGACTCCAACTCAAAAAAAGAAAAAAGGGAAAAAAAGGAAATGCACTGCATATATATTTGAAATTTTCTATTATTTAAATATATACCATGAACACTTTTCTCTAGTAAATATATAGCATAATATTCCATCATATAGCTATGTTATAATTAGTTTGATCCTTATTCTCTTGTTGGATTTGTGGTTACTTCAATTATATTATAAATAATGCTGAAGTAAATACTATTTCACTAAACTTTGTATATATATATTGCTGATGATTTATTAAACCAACTTTCTAAAAGTGAAGTTACTGTGTCAAGAGTATTTTTAAGATTTCTAAAACTTGTCCTCTTTGTCCTACAGAGAGCAGGCACTAATGTAAGCTGACCCAAGTAATTCATGAGAAAACACACTTTGAAAGAAAATGCACACCTTATTTCACCTTTCCAGGACTGGACATTATAATCTTTCCAAGTTGTGTACTAATTCAAAAATGAAAATATAGTCTCATCATTTAAAGTTCTGTTACTCCAATTACTAGGAAAGTACAATTATATTTCCGAAAAATTTTGTAGTACAGTGTTCAAATATTTATTCTTTCTATAGAAGTACATGCTATGAGTTGCTCGGGGCTGAATTCAGCATACAATTAAAATAAAATGGCAACCTCCTGGAGTGATCGGTTACAGAATGCCGCAGATCTGCCCGCCAATATGGATAAGCATGGCCTGAAAAAGTATCGTGGAGAAGCCTACCATCCGGTGTTTGTGAACCGAAGTTTAGCAGTGGGAAAAAATCAAGTGTTCTGGTTTTGATGTGGATTACACTTTGGCTGTGCACAAGTCCCCAGAGTCCGAGTCCCTGGGCTTTGAGCTTACGGTGGAGAGACTGGTTTCTGTTGGCTATCCTCAGGAGCTGCTCAGCTTGGCCTACGACTCCACCTTCCCTACCAGGGGACTTGTCTTTGACACGCTGTGTGGGAATCTTTTGAAAGTCGGTGCCTATGGAAACCTCCTGGTCTGTGCACATGGATTTAACTTCCTAAGGGGACCAGAAGCTAGAGAGCAGTATCCAAATAAATGTATCCAACAAGATGACATGGAAAGGTTTTACATTATGAACACACTGTTCAACCTGCCGGAGACCTACCTGTTGGCCTGCCTCGTAGACTTTTTTACTAAATGTCCCAGACACACCAGTTGTGATACAGGATTCAGAGATGGAGGCCTCTTCGTGTCCTCCCGGAGCATGTTCCAGGACGTGAGAGATGCCGTCGACTGGGTTCACTACCAGGGCTCTCTTAAGGAAAGGACAGTGGGAAATCTTGAGAAGTATGTCGTCAAAGATGGAAAGCTGCCTCTGCTTCTGAGCCGGCCGAAGGAAGTGGGGAAAGTATTTCTTGCCACCAACAGTGACTACAAATACACAGACAAAATTATGACTTACCTGTTTGATTTCCCACATTGCCCCAAGCCCGGGAGCTCCCATGGGCCATGGCAGTCCTACTCTGACTTGATCTTGGTGGATGCACATAAACCACGCTTTTTCGGAGAAGGCACAGTCCTGCGCCAGGTGGACACGAAAACCGCAGCATGGCATCGTCTACTCGGGAGGCTCTTCTGATACAATCTGTGATCTGTTGGGCGCCAAGGGCAAAGCCATTTTGTACCTCGGGGATCACATGGGGGGGGGACATTTTAAAATCCACGAAGCGGCCGGGCTGGCGGACGTGCCTGGTGATTCCAGAGCCTGCGCGGGAGCTGCACGTCTGGACCGACAAGAGCTCACTTTTCGAAGCGCTCCAGAGCTTGGATGTTGTCTTGGCTGAGCTCCACGAGCACTGGACGGCCGTCGCAACGAGCGCCCCGACGGCAGCTCCGGCCAGAGGCGGATTAAGAAAATGCCGGGCTCGGTGGCCCAGCCTGTCACCCCGCGCCTTGGGGAGACGGAGGTGAGCGAATCGCCTGAGCCCGCGGGTTCGAGACCCGCCGGGGCAGCGAGACCTCCTCTCTT